CTTCAAGTTAGAGGACAATAGGATAGCAAAGTGAGAGCTCTCTCTCATTAACCTGCTTGCAGGCAGCTTGAGTAATTTTGGCCTGCCCTGGCTCTTTTGGAAAGAAGCATTTGTTTGATAAACAGGAAGTCGTTTCCATGGGCGTAGGAAGAAGAAATGATAGAACCAAGTGGCAAAGTAAAGAGCTGCTGGTTGTGGTTAGCCTGGAAACAGCAGACATTTTCAGGTAGTCCATGAGACCAGCAGAGATTTCGTCCCCCTGGCTTGCCTGGGCTCACCTTTCATCCCCGGGGAATGCAGTTTCTGCCCACTGCCTGACCGGTAGTGGCTTCCATCTGTTCCAAATGGTAGATGAACGGAGACAGTCTACACGGAGTGGAGAAGTGGCTTATTTTAATAAATATTAGGTCCCTGCCATTGTCCCATTAGGGGCCTCTAAGACTCCAATGGAGCTGGTCTAGGCAAGCAAAGACGTGCCTGTGCGTGTTTGCTCTTTGAAAGGTTAGAACCTGAATATATCCAAGGCATATTCCTCACATTCTAGTAGACTGGGACAAAATTAGAGTGGACTCTGAGGCAGGTTTATGTGCTAGTGCTGCTGTGCTTTTTGAACTGCAGAATTCATTCATTATTCTGTCACTCTCAGAGGGTGTGTGAGCCTCAGACTGCCACTAGTGTTTGAGAAACTTTATGGGGGAAAACAGATGCAGTATAAAGAAGTCCAGTGCCAAGTGATCGAGGATGATTGGCCAGTGAGGGAGAGAACCTAGATTCCACATGGAGACTCACCATGTGTTTTAGCTGGCTGGAGCCATGCTGCAGTGCAAGAAAACCTTAAACCTGCCCAGCATTTCAATTAGAAGTGATAAAGGGGCCAGTGTGACCGCTTTACATAGCGGGTGTCTCCTTGATGTCTGCCTAGGTGGGCGGAAGAACAAGAATCTAGAGTGTCAGAAGCTGGGGTCCTGGGGATAGTTGAGACGTGAGGTTCTGTAGAGCCTGTTCTTGGTAGCTAAGACATAGGAGACCTAGCTCTCCAAAGTCCTGGAGGAAATACAATGACCTTCTGAGATCCTTATAGCTAGAATCCCGACAAAGATCAGATTGTGCTTTTCTTCGACTGTTGAGTGGATTCAGAACCCTCTGTGTGAAAGTACCCCAGTGTTGATTCAGACACTGTGACTATGCATAAATATAGGCTGTGTTACTGCAATGGATTTCTCCACTAGAGGTAAATATCCCATCTGGACTTGAGATTTTGCTTCCTGCCTACTGGCATATAGGAATATAAAGCAAGCATTTGTCAGCAGACCACTGGAAGGCAGGTTTCTGCAGGGACAGAAACTGTAGGCTGTTGGTTTCCTGGCACACCCACCTGACCTTAGACTGAGAGCAAACTAATGGGTGGGGGAATCCAGTGGATGAAAATGAAAGCTGAGGCTAAGGTGTGAGTGAGCCTGAGCCCCTAAGACAGTGCAGAAGGGGGGGAGCACAGAGCAGCATGGGCACCAAGTGCTGGTGCAGGAGGAAAGCCTATCCTCAGTTACAGGAATAGTGTGGGGATGCTTGTTGTTGCAGTTCTGTGTGGTGTGTGTATCCCAGTCTGCCCAGGATGTTGACACCAATGCCTTCCGCCCGGGAACCCTGAAGAACGATGGCCGGGATAGAATAGTTCTGTGAAGTGCCACCAGCTTGGAGTTCCATTAACAAAATGCTTAAATATGCCCTGCATGGTACTGAGTGAACCTTTAAAATGTGTGAAATGTGTTTTAAGATGTCTTTGAAAATACAAGTTTTGTCATATGTGGTAACTCTTAAACAAAGTACAAGTTTGTCCCTAAATGCAGGGGCTTTTCTTTGTCCTTTTCATGATTTCATGTGAAAGTTGACTCCATTAGCCCGTTGGTAGCCGGGGGTATTGGCACTGTAAATGTTTTGTCCAGGGACAACCAGTGTGTCATTGTGAATATAAATCAGACCTAGGCTGCATCCCACCAGCTGGCCTCTACAACACTTTTGCGAACTTTCCAGTCATCTTAGAGAAATTAGGTTCTTAGCCATGTATAAAGAGGCTTTTTTTTTTTTAATAAAAGAAAATCACTTATTTTGGAAATCACAAAATTAATCATTCTGTCATGTTTAAGAAGCTTTGATGTGTTTTGGTAATTAGTGTTTACTGCCAGACGAATGTCTCTTGGGCATTTTAATTAGTGGGTGGCTTGGCCAGATGAGCTTCTCTGATGGTAACTCTTCAGAGGAGTTTATTCTTATGTTTCTCAAGAAGAGCAGTCTCCTCAAAGCTCTTTAATTAGACCAAGTTTAGCAACTAAAACATATTATTAGAATAATTAGGCTTCTCTTAGGGAACAGAGGGGGGTGGGGGGTTGGAGAAGACAGGTACTGTTAAGAGAGATCACTTAAAACCTAGCATCCTGCCCCTGATGGATGTCCAGTTCCAGAGGGGCCTGTGTTACATTGCTGTCCTCAGTCAGAGCTTCATGTTGTTAAGAGTTCCCCTAATGGGTCTTACTAGAAGTGTAAACACACCCAAGTATAAGCTCATTTGTCCAAGTATAAGCTCATTTGTCCATCCCATTTCCATCCTGGAGACTTCTTGTTGCCCCCCACCATGTTGTAAGTAACTATGGTGTTTTTTGTTTTTAAGGGGAAAGCTTTAAAGGTCTTGTAAACAAAAGATTATAACAATTCTTTCAAGGATTGTTTGTCTATTTTTAATGATGTCAAACAGAGTCTTCCTTGGTAGTCCAGGACGGCTTTAAACAAGATGCCCCCACCCCCATTTTAGCCTCCCAAGTACTGGGGTGGGTGATAGGCGCGTATGTGTGTGTGTGTGTGTGTGTGTGTGTGTGTGTGTGTGATGTTTACATTCTAGGATGTGTCCCTTGCTGTCAAAATGCAGTTTGTATTTTTTCAAAATTTGCCATGTTGTTGGGTTTCCCTCTAGCTGCCTTACTTCACCCTCTCCCTGGTCCTTGCCTGTATTCTTTGTGCTCTTGGTCTTTGCAGTTACCATTGCTAGTAGTACTTTACCCTAGATTCTGTTTTCTTATAAGTATTAAAAAAAAAAAATAGCTGTCACTAGTCCTGTGAGTGAGATGTCACTAAAAATAATTGGGTGATTTCAGTGAACTACTATTAATAATTGGTCCTATGTATATCTGAATTGCTTAATTTTGTACTTTTTTGTTTGTGTTTTGAGCAGGGTTTCTTTGTGTAGCTTTGTAGACCAAGCTGGCCTTAAACTCACAGAGATCCGCCTACCTCTGCCTCCCAAGTGCTGGGATTAAAGGTGTGAACCACCATTGCAAGGCAATTTTGAACTTTTTTATCATCTCAGGATGCATATGGTAAATGTGTCCTTTTTCAGCTGGATCATTAAAGGTCTTTTCACAGAAGGTTATTAGAAGTTTCCACTAGAACATGCTATGACATTTCTTTAAGATTTATTGTATTTTATACAATACATGTGTATTGTATACATATATACATGTGTATATATGTATGTATGTGTGTCTGTGTGAGTATGTGCCATGTATGTGTAGGTACCCAGTGTGACCACAAAAAGGAGTTAGTTCCCCCAGAGCTAGACTTACAAGTTTCTGTGAATGACCCAACATGGACAGTGGGAACCGAACCTTGATTATCTACAAACAATATGACAACCCCCCCCCCCCGTTCCTTTTTGATACAAGATTTCTCAGTGTAACAGCCCCAGCTGGAGCTTGATCTGTATAGACCAGACTGGTCTTGAACCCACAGAGATCTACCTGCCTCTGCCTCCTAAATGCTGGGACACGCCTAGCCAGTATACACACTTAGCTATTGAGCCATCTCTCTAGTTTAATCTGGGCAGCTGTGATGATGTACAGCTAGGTTAGGGGTGTCTGTTTCATCTGGTCAGTATCAACCTAGTGCCTTACTCTGTAGAAATGTACTTCTAGGGCTACAGTGGCTGTGGGCAATCAAATGGCTTTTCAGGCCTGAGAATAGCCTGATCTCTCTGACAGCAGTCTGTCACAGGTGAGGTCTTTGTTGTTTGTTCTCACACTGTCTATCCTAGCAACTCAGCCATTGACCATTTTTCTTGGTAGATTTTCAGTTAATATATTATTTGTAAAAATTAGTATCATAGTTCTAAGAGAAGCCGATTCAGATATAAAGATGTGTATACATTGCTATGTCACCAAAGAAATATATCTTCATGTCCAATCATAGGCTTTAAGAAAGTAGGAGATGTTGGTGTGGACAGGGACCCACAGAAAGCCAGTCCCCTGCTCTGTGTGTCTGCTTTGCTTGGAGATGATTGACTGCTATGACTCTGCTTTTTGACACTCTTCAAACACAGGAAATGCATGTGATGCTTATCGTCCTGTGTATTTGCTTTTATACATGTAATCTTTGGCAGTGAGATTATGAAAAGGAAGGTGTTAGTAATATGATTCTTGAAAAATGGCACTAAGCCCTGAGAACATTTTTTCCTTATGGTGGTGCAATGTGTATTTTTGTGCACCCTTGTCACAGCAGGCTCAGGGTTAATGTGGTTTGGGTTCTTACTGTTGGTGAGTTTTTAATGAATGTGCACAGGAATGTGCCTTGTTCTCTTTCAGTTCTCTTTAGGTTTTGTTAGTTATTTATTTAATGTGTATAAGTGCAATGTGTGTGTGTATGTGTGTTTGTGTGTGTATGTGTGTATATGTATGTATGTATGTATGTATCAACTGCATACCTGGTACCTGTGGAGGAGGTATCAGACCTCCTGGAACTGTAGTCATAGATGGCTATGAGCCACCATGTATGCTGGGAACTGAACCTGGGTTCTGGAAAAGCAGGCAGTGCTCTTAACCACTGAGCCATCTCTCCAGCCCCTGTTTCCTTTTAAACTCTGTTATCAGATGGGTGCTTCCCTGACCTCCTTAAGCTGCCTCTGGGATTATGCCAGCATCTTGGGTAGGTACTGACTCTGCTCTTGTTCTCCACAGACCACCTGGTGGCCCATGGAAGAATGGCAGAGAAGGAAGCTCGACGGAAATTCAAACAAATTGTCACAGCTGTGTATTTTTGTCACTGTCGGAATATCGTTCATCGTGATTTAAAAGCTGAAAATTTGCTTCTGGATGCCAATCTGAATATCAAAATAGCAGGTGAGGTGTGTGCTGACTGTGTGTGGTAAAGACAGGAGACGACGGAGGAGCTCCTCAGTTAAGGTTCTGAAAGCTGGGGGTGATCTCCTTATTTAAAAATAAGCATGGTGAAAAAAACCAGAGTGAGCCAGGTGATGGTGGCACACACCTTTGATTCCAGCACTTTGGAGAGAGAGGCATTCGGATCTCTGAGTTCAAAGCCAGCCTGGTCTAAAGCATTAGTTTTAGAACAGCTGAAGTTACACAGAGAAAGTTCATTTTGAAAAACAAAACAAAACAAAAAACCCAGAAAAACAAAACAATCAAAAATTAGAACTGGATACTGAACTCCGGTTTGTTTGTGTGGAGGATACCACTGAGCTACACTCCCACCCCAGACTTCCCATTAATAGCCTGAAATTAGCAAACTTTCAAAGTACATTTTAAAAAATACAATATTAGCAGAAACTCTTTAGGAAGAAATGAAGAGGTAGTATTTCTTGTTCTGTTACTATGATAAATCCTTTGTAAATAGTGAAAAACAAAGTAGTATTTTTTAAACTAGAAAGGAAAATTATGTACTCAGCTTCTATTGCCAAGGTTGATCTTTACCACCATGGACATAGGCTGTGCTTACTCTACAGGCTGTATTTTTTTTAATGTCTTTTTTTTTTTTTTAATCTTATTTTATATACCAATCCCAGTTCCCTGTCCCTCCATCTCCTCACCCCACCCCTATCCATTCCTCAGAGAGGGTGCAGTCTACCCTGGGGAATCATCAAAGTCTGTCACATTACACTAAGGCAGGACCAAGGCTCTTCCCCCTGTATCTAGACTGAGCAAGATATCCCTCCATAGGAAATGGGAAAGCCAGTTCATGCATTAGGGATAATTACTGGTTCCACTGCCAGTGGCCCCATGGACTACCCAAGTCCCCCAACTGACTCCCGCCTTCAGGGGGCCTAGTTCAGTCTTATGCAGGTCCCCCAGCTGTCAGGGTTTTGTAAGAATAGATTTTTACAGTGCCCCCAAAGCATAATAAAACGTTTATTGAAAGCTGCTCTTTCTCTAGGGATGGGAGAAGGTGGTTTAGGACCTATTGAAATTTTTCTGAGCATTTTCTCCTCCCACATATGTAAATACATGCATTCATATCTCATAATAAATCCACTAAGGGTGCTACTTAGCTAGTTTTAACCTTTTTTTTTCTTCCCAGTCCAGCCTTTTATCTCATATTCCATTCCTCTGCCCACCTAACTTCTCTACTTTTTCTTAGTGGCTTACACTTGCTGTATTGATCTATCAGCATTTGCCTGACAGACACACAAGTTCATCTCCTACTGATTAGAAGGAAGTGAGTGCACAGCAACTATAAATAGAAAAAAATAGATAGCTTTTGTTCTTTGATAGTTTCTAATATTACATTGTATGTCCCTTATCTCTCAGTGGCTCATGCTGAAAATTGAAGTATTGTTAGAATATAATTGCCTTGAGACGCCAAGGAGTCAAAAGCTGTTCTCAGATTTCCCTCTAAGCAGGGCAGGAGTTGGGAGTTCAGATTTGTGTCTTGTTCCAGGTCAAAGTACCTGAGCAAGCACCTGCCAGCTGCAGTTCTTCTGACTCTGAGGTGTAGACATTACCTAGTCTGATCTAATGTCACCTAGCACTGTCCTTATCTCAGACTGATAGCTTCATGTAGTTTGCCACAAAGTTTGTTGAGCCAGGCGCGACACAGCAGGCAGGAATCTAAGGTTCTCCTGTTGGTTTGATATTAAGCCAGGCACTCTCAATCATCCTGCCTCAGCCTGTCAGAAGATGTTGGCTAGCATAGAACCGTGCTTTTCCTTTGCCGTTCTGTCAGTTGTGGCTATCCCCATAGAATTGGGGGATGTGGAAAGACCTGGCAAATTCCAGCTCTCTTTTCTAACTTTTTGTTTTGTTTTGTTTTTAGAGACAGGGTTTCTCTGTGTAGCTTTGTCTGTCCTGGAACACACTCTCTGGAACAGGATGGCCTCAAACTCACAGAGATCCACCTGCTTCTGTCTCCCAAGTTCTGGGACTAAAGGGATGTGTAATTATTTTTTGTGGCTTCAATGAAATTGTTGATGTAACTTACCAAAGCTCACAGGACTCAGTGAGGAGACTGAGGCACAAGGCTCTCGAATTTGAGGGCAGCCTGGGATTACTGTTAGTGTTACAAACTCCATGGCTCCTCATACAGTGGTTTTCTAAGTCAGTTCTGGAAGTGTAAAACATGCCTTTCAAGGCCAGCTAACATCTAGATTTAAGCAGGCCTGGTTCCTGGAGTTCCTAAAGGGAAAACCCAGATTCTTGTCCTATTTTGCCTTGTGTAGGCAATCTGCCTTCCTTGGCCATGGCCCCATCTTCACGGCACTCTCCCATCAGGCTTGTGTTGTGCTGACTTTGGGCCTCCTGATTCTGCCATATTGTAAGGAGTCCTGTCATCACTTCAGGTCCTCCTAGACATCCAAGACCACCTCTGAAGCTTATGATTATTAATTTGGTCACTTGCACACAAAGCTCCTTTTAGCATTCACAGGAATGCATTCACAGGAATGGGGTGGTTGGGCCAAGGATGTGTTTGGAGGACATTATTCCAGCCCATCACAGTGTCATCCCCAGGGTCCTTGGGTTATTAAAATAGCTTAAAGCCTCTCTTTATACTTTATGTAGTTTTTTATTCTATATATGTGACCCAAGGTTAAAGTGTGTTTTTGTTTGTTTGTTTGTTTTGTGTTTATTTTTATATTTCTTCAATTTGTGACTCTCACTTTAGAGCCATTCTGATTAAATTAAGAAACATTCCTGTGTCAGTTGGTTTTCTGTGGAGAAACTGAGAATAAAATCTGAGGCCATTGATAATCAAAACTGGAAATTACCCACATATTAGGGCAAGGTGATTTTTACATTTTTTTTTATAAAGTAATTAAAAACAAATTCAAGGAGTCTTAGTATAAGTATGTCTGCTGGTGTGTCAGTGAACATTACTGGGGGTATTGGCAGCCAGCCTCACACTCTGTGTTTTAACACATATACTTTGGCACAATTTTAAAGTTCATTTTAAATGTTTACGTTTTTAGTATTTGTTTTCAAAGCAAAATAAAGACTAAATTAGGACTCTAGTTAAGGTCTGCTACAATGTCTAATGTTTATCCTTAAATGACTGCTCATGCATTCTTTCTTTTGCATGCCCTCATTATGTGGTTTCTCAGTCATTGCTTGAGTCTCAGGCTCTCTCTCTTTCTCCCCCTCCCTCCCTTCCTCCATCCCTCCCTCCCTCCCTACTCTCCTTCTTTCTTTCCTTTTGCACATGTGTTAGAATTCTCATTTGTACCAGATACATCTTTCCTGAAGTTAATGAACAACTTTGAGAGATGCCTTTAGTAGATGCCAAATACAGAGTGGGTTAGGTGGTTTTGATAGGATATGGTCAATAACAAATGAAATCAACTTTAATTTTAAGAGCTGAAAGCAACTATTAGAGCCATGGTCTTTTCAGTAGTCATTTTTAAAGAACATATTAGAAGCCTTAGGAAGAAGCCAGTGTGTTTGACTTTGAGGCCAGCCTGGGAAACTTACTAAGACCCCATCTCAAAAAATAAAAGGGTGGGGAATGTTGAGTTGCAGACTGCTTACCTAGCATGAATTAGGTTCCGGGTTCAGTCCTTGGTACCAGCAAAAAAGAATTCTTAGTCTTTAGCAGTTCATCTTTAAACCAGTTATGTTAAAGAGCAACTTAATTTGGAACTAATAAAAATTCCAATTAAGAAATATAAGAAATTATCAATTTTTGCCAATATTTATCCAAGTGGTTTGGTTTTAAAAAACAATCTGGTAGCTGATAAAGGTACTTGCTGCCAAGTTTGATGATCTGAGTTCTATCCGGGGGACCCACGTGATGGAAGAAGGAAACTGCCCCTGGAAAGTTGTCATCTGATCTCCACACACATTGCCTGCCTCAATAAATAATTATAAGAGAAAAATTTTTAGGCAGGTTTTACTGTGTAGCTCTGGCTCTATGTAGACCAGGCTGGCCTTGAGCTCACAGAGACCTGCCTGCCTCTGCCCCCTGAGTGTCACCATGCCTAAGTTTAAAAAAAAAATGTGTGTGTGTGTGTGTGTGTGTGTGTGTGATATATATATATATATATATATATATATATATATATATATATATATTTTGGTTGTTTGACTCAGGGTCTGTCTGTGTAGCCCTGGCTATCTTGGCACTCATGGTGTAGACCAGGCTGGCCTTGAACAGGGAGATCCACCTGCCTCTGCCTCCTGAGTGTTGGGATTAAAGATGTGTGCAGCCACCACCCAGCCTAAATTCTTTTAAAGCATATATCACCTGAAATCTATAACTGTTACTTGGATGCAGAGGCAGAAGACTTGCTGTGAGTTCAAGTCTAGCCTCACTACATAGTGAATTTGAGATCAGCAAGACTACAGAGTGGGATCCTATCTCAGACAAACAAACAAATAAATGATGGTGTTCATTGTAGAACATGAGTACGTTTTTCTGGTTTTGTTTGTATTCTTTTCACTTTTTGAATGAGTTACTATGGTAATACATGTTTAGCACTTGATACTATAAAGACATACAGTATGCTGTGTCCACTCTAGTCTAGTAGTGAAGGACATGGCTCCTTGGTGTGAAGGTAGACTTATGGATAGCTATCAGAAGAGTCAATCATAGTTTCCCCTCCCCCCTTTAAAATTTAAATTATAATCAAGCTTGTTTTACCTGTCAATCCCAGTTCCCCCTCCCTCCCCTCTTCCCTTGCCCCCCCCCATTGCATCCCCTTTCTGCTCCCCAGGGAGGGTTAGGCCTTCCATGGGGGATCTTCAAAGTCTGTCATCTCACTTGGAGCAGGGCCTAGGCCCTCCCCTGTGTAAATAGGCTGAGAGAGTATCCTCTATGTGGAGTGGGCTCCCAAAGACCATTCATATCCTAGGGATAAATACTGATCCACTACCAGAGGCCCCATAGATTGCTC